ACAGTTCTTTTCAGAACTACCCTCACCCGGACGATCACTCAAGACGAACTATTAATTAACTAGAAGTATTTGTTGACCCTTTGTGATGGCTTGACGGACTCAAAATGTTGGGTCGATAAATTTAATTCACTTGAGACGAAGATAACCTGTGAGTACTTGCTTTGGCCATGCGCGACTTTTACTGAAAAATAACGAAGTCAGTCAGTGGTGAACAAGATTCACATTTATTGTCAAGATCAACTTTCAAATTATTTTTTGTGTTATTACTTGATCCCATGACTAGTTTGAATTTGTCAGATAAAGGCAGTGAGAATTTCTTATTTCATAACTGGTGTGGTAGGGTTTAAAATCAAAGCAGGAGACCAGAGATTCGGTAATAATTGTCCCCAGATAAACTGTTGTAACGTTTATATTCACGTTTCTTTCATTTTATAAAATGTAGTAACAATGTAGGCTTAAATCATTGATGTCAATTACAATTTTTGAAGACAACTTTCCTTTGTTAAATGTCAGCTAGGAGTATTTTGTTAAATATTATATGTTACTTTTATAGATGTTATTAAAGTATCTATCACTGTATTGTCATAACTACGTCATAATCAATAAACAATTTTACAAATTTCACAATAACCGACTCCTAAATCGATTTTTATTTTTAGGTCAGTGGTACGAGGCCTCCATCAAAAAAGAGTAATTTGTCTTTAATCTCATCAGTCTTAAAATGTATAACATCACAACTTTTTACCTCGTTAAGAACGACTCACACACGTATTTTCAAAAGTGTCCATGATTGAAAACTTGATTTAAACCACTTTAATCCAGAGTTGTTAAAGTTTAGAATTTTACAGCTATGCTTTGTGTAAATTTCTGCCTGCTGAAGTGAAAAACCCACCCTTTGATGCCTTTTATTATCAGTGAGAAGTTATTCCTTCTTGCTAATTGCTTAGTACGTTTGTCAAACCGGTGGAAAAGCGACTTTCGAAGGAATTGCTGCGTAATATTCCTTGTACTTTACTGATCCTTCCATGACCATGTGGCCGAGGAATTGCTACAATGCTGCATTAATAACATGGCCGTCCTGTCACACTTTGTACCCTCAAACAAATATGAGGGTACAAATGGCCCCGGGCTCCTCCCCTAGATCCGCCACTGCACTGTAGTGATATCTAGTTAGTGTTTCAATGCAATGCCGTAAGCGCTTAGTAATATTTCGACCGTAATGCGTGTCCCTCCTTATAAAACGGTCCATTCCGGTTTTTGTATTTCCCTCGCTTTTTTGATTTCTAAAGTTGTCCAGTTTAAGAGAATTTTATCTCATTTTGCGAAATTTGGCTATCGCGATTTTCACAGAAAAGACAAGCCCCATCAAAGGCCGGAATCAAGTAAGACCAAAAGTCGACGAGACTGAGACTGAGAAACTCTTCTCAGTAGTCATTAAAATGTCTATGACGGGGCCAATCTCGTTCCCAGAGCCCACGTTACCC